AGCCTTGTTCCTAAAGCATGAGCTTGAACCTTAAAGCTCGAGCCTCTGTTCCTAAAGTTTGAGCCTTCCATGACATGTTAGATTTAAAGTACGGGATTGCTCTCTTTATCAGCCGTATCTCATCCTAGATAGGCCAGAAGACCTAAAAGCCCACCAAGTCATTATTTTCTTCTATAAAAGAAGGCATAAGCCTTGATAGAAGAGGTCCAAAATTTCAAGTTCTTTTTAAGGTATTATTCAGAAGGTTGGTAGCGTGGCGACTCTTAGGGTTCCTACAACCTTGAAAGTGAAGGTTCTGAGAAGAAAAGTGTCGTCCGTGACGATGGAAACACCTCCAACACAGATGACATTCGACATCGTCATGAGTAGCTAGTTGGCACTGATGTAACCCAATCTAGTATTATGGTTTGATTGTTTTAACTCTAGGATTTTTTTATATTTTATTATGTTTACTTGATTATATGACTATGAGCAATTGAGACAACTCAATTGGTTTTCATGCTTTAGTAGATTATAAATTGTTATTCTCTTATCTTAGATGTAATGGTTTATTGTTTATTCTCAACCTATCTTGTTGTGCGGTATCTGGTGGAGCCCTGCCGGACACAAGAATAGAGGTCATATAATGGTATTATAATGTTTTTTGCAAAAAAATGTTTTCATAGTCTATGCTTAGGAAAGGTGGATTGTTTACAAAGTAGTAAGAGTAGGTAGGTGGATAGTCCGCACTAACCGCAGATAGGTTATAGTTAACTGAATTTTGTAAAATATTTTTCTTTAAAACCCGAATTGAACGAATGTTATTGAATTCAATTCATTTGAAAAACATAACTGTTAAATCCCCAAAGTTGGTACAATTACCATAGTATGATGATTATGGTGTAGTCAAAGCCCTAAGATCACTCTCTCTGATTGTTTAATTCATTCTAGTTTAATATTTTGTTTTAATTTTAGTTTGCATAATTGTGACAACTAACCAATTTTTCAACCAGTTACCTATAAACCATAAAACGAAATTAAAGACTAAATACAAATCTCATCTCCCTATGGGTTCGACACCTTTCTTTATAGCACTATTCTACACGGAATCGTCCTATTGCGAGTGGTAAAATTAGACACGATCAATACACATAGGTTTATTCACGGCTTTTTGCATTATCAGTTTCTTATTTTTAAAAGCTGTTAGAAGATTTTTGTCTCAGAAATTCTTAGAGAATATTTTGTGTGTCTTTCTAGAACACATACACATAAACACATAGTGAGTTTAGAGTTGTGGTGTTTAAATCCTGATCATGATCATACAGTTGCATCTACATTGATCAGACAAAAGTAGATCTACTTCTACATCAAATTCAAAAGTTGAAGAATAGAAGTAAAAGCGATCACACTTTGAAAGGGTTGGAGCATTTGAGGAGTGTTGTTTGATCTACCTGCTACTCTTCCACAAAGATCAAGTATAAGCCTGATGTCAAGTTGCTACTGGACGGGGAGTCGCAAAGCCAGAGGATTGTCAGCAATTGGTGTTTGGTAGAATAATAGGGTGTGAGCCAGAGTCAAAGTTCAGTGTACTTTATTTCAAACATAGTGGATCAGTTTATTTTTGACTGCACAGTCCACGAGATTTTTTCCACGCAAACAGTTGACGTATTTTATTAATTGGGGTTTACTCGCTAAAAATCCTTATATCATCTCTAACTTTACTTTGTTTTATTTTATATTGCATTATATTAATTTATTAATTATTAAAATAAAGAAAGTTAGAAAAACACAAGATCTATTTTTAAAATAATCAAAACTTTCTAAAATATTCCGCTGCGTACGACTCACATATACGACATGGTTGAACCATATTTGAGGGTTGAAAAGCAACGAGCAATTTATGAGGAAGTTATGCACCAGTTCCAACGCATGACATGCCACTTCCGGATGAAATTGATAGCATAATGTCATTACCCATTGAGGTGTTGAACAATGAGTCTGCATCCAGTTCTCTCAAGCCTCCATTTGTTAGGAACCCTCCTGGTAAGCCTTGTACAAAAGGATTGAGTCACAATTTCAGGACAACAGAACTAATTTACATTGCTTTCGATGTCATGAACTAGGACACAACCGACAGAATTACAAAGCACCACTGCCTGGATAAGTTATTGGTCATTGATCATTTTTCTTCAAAAAGTATGTCACTTGTTTAAATTTACTGAACTGAATTTTTTACTTTCAAAAAAAAAAAAAAAAAAGTGAATTAATTTTTGAAATGTATGAAAAATTCATGTAACAATGGACTATTTTAATGTGTTTAAATTATGATGAATAATTGCACTTGTCACTTTTTAAAGTTGTCATTGTCAACTATCTGATTCATTTTTGCTTGTTTAATTTGGTTCTTAAGTTGTTAGAATTAGTTTTTTACTTTTAAATTTTACTAAAATGGAATAATGGATTTGTTCCTTTGGAAAATAGTTAACCTGAAATCATTCTACCTAACAAAATAATCCTTTTACTGAGAGCACATAACCTTTTTACTTCAGCAATCAATCTATGTTGGCTTCTCATTTTTTAATGAACAAACTAGTGTAATGATGAGAAAATACGATAATATAAGCCTGAGACTGAAAAATCTACTTAACAAGGAATAAACTAAAGATAAAATATATAACTTGGCCTCTCAATTTCTTTATGTTATTAGCTTTATTGATAGAAAATCTTATCCATTGGCATATCTAGGTAGTTGATTTGGATATGCTTTATTATTGTTAATACGATGTATTATATTTTCCTTTGCGGATGTGCATTGAAGTTTACACTTTATTAGAAAGAGTGAGAAAAAGAAAGAGTGGAGAGAGAATGGATGAGAGAGAAAGAGATGAAAGTGGTCTAGCTGGACCAGCCTCGTAATATCTGTCAAAGTAGTCGGTTAGATACTTCGATTAAAGTATCATTTTCCTATTGGTAAATATTAAATTTGGAAACTAGAAATAGTAATAGTGATTTGTACCGTGAGATTTATGTCACTATAAAAAATGTTGATAAATTTTCTTACTCCACGAAAAGTAAGAGATCACTACGTGAAACAGTTATCTGAGTTGAATATGATGTAGGACAGAATTCTGAACAGTTCGATAAATTCGTTTTCGACAAACCAATAATGTTTTTTAGGTCGAAACAACCCATTGAGAAAAAACCAGTAGCTTTGGTCATGCTGGTTTTAGACTGAAAACATCGTTTAGGACTTTGAAATCGCGTTTTATTATGTTATAGGAGATCTCCCAATTATTTCAGGATCTTTGTTTAAGGCTATAACGAAGTCAAAATGCTATGAGATTTTATATTTAGTCCAAAATTTTTAGGAGAAAATTTATTTTTAAGACTTATTTTTATAGGATTAGTTTCCCTGTGTGCTTAGTTTGTTTCTAGTGTTAGGTTTTCTCTATTATAAATATTTATATATTGCAATAGAAAAATATAAACTTTGTCAATAATATTTCAGAATTATTCATAAATTTGTCTCTTGATTCAAAACACTCAAAATATGCATCATGTCCGTAAAATTTAAGGAATTAAAATTCAAATAAGAATCTTCACATTGAATGAAATACACACAAACATTTGGACTTCACTCTCACTTACAGGTCAAGCGTGCTAAAATTGACTAGCTAGTGATATTTCCCTCTTCTCCATGCGGAACCTGGATTCTCGATATGATGTTCCTTGTTCCTTCGCATAATTTATAAAAAATAAAAAATTACACAGCTTATACAATAATTTTACATCATTTGTTCTACAATTTTACATTTCTTATGTCTGATAATGAGCACTCGATCACGAGACTCTTCAAATTTTCAATATGACCTAGTGCCTTGCAGAATAAACATCCGTCCACATGAAGTGATTCAGATTTTTCTTTATCAGTTCTCGAACCACGCTTCTAATTAATGGTAAGATGTGCCTTGTAGCTCAGGTGATGTCCAGTCTCACGGTATGATATGATAATTAATGTTCAAGTCACCATCTTCTCTTTTCCCTCTAAATCTAACCTCTAATCATTGCAAACAGAGCAGGTATTATGAGGTACATTTGGGACTTGCATTCAGATAGCTCAGAAAGACTTTGGATCAACTGGTGTAAATCACATCTCATCAAATCCATAAATTTTTGGGCTCTCAAGTATCCACAGCCTTGTTCTTGGAGTTGGGAGGAAAATTTTCCAAATTAGACACCCTGCAAGACTCTTAATCAAGCACTCCATTGGTAGTGGTTCTCAAACTTCCTTTTGGTGGGACAACTGGTCTACAGGAGGCCCCCTCAGCTCTAGATTCCCTCACAATATCCTCACCGAGGCTGGTCTGAACGATGGTACCACTGTTAGCCTTTTCATTGTAAATAACTCTTGGTCATTTCCTTCTCAAATTACCAATGCCATCCCTGAGCTACTCTCTCTCCCTCCACCGTGCTCTTCTAGAAGGGATGCAATGAAATGGACTGCATCTCCTTCAGGACAGTAAAACTTCAATCATACAGTTGCTCACCTTATTAGCCATCTCCCTTCTTCACCATGGCACAACCTTGTGTCGAAATCCCCATTAATCCCTAGAATGAAGTTCAATTTATGGTTGGCTGTACAATCCAGACTGCCAACCTTAGATAGCAAATCTATGGCTAAACAACAGAACATTTGTGGTCTGTGTCAAGTCTCAACCGAATCCCATGACCAATTATTCTTTAACTACACCTTTGTCTCTCCAATTTGGAGGTTCATCAGAGATAAGTGCAGAATCTTCACAAAATTGAGGAATTGGGGAGCTCTGGTACTGTGGTGCTGCCACAAATGGAATTCCAAACCACCGATCAATTGGCTCCGCAAATTATGCCACTCCTCACTCGTGTATCATTCACAAAATTGAGGACTCGTAAGGTTGACTAGTAATATACTCCATTGAAAAGAGAGAGAATTTAATTATAAATAAAAAGATAAAAAGTATAGAAAGTAGAAACCATGGCAGTTAGTCAAAAATGGTGATCAGAGTTCGAGCTTCGCTCCAGTTCTTCTTTCCCTCACTCATCTCATACAACACTCTTCTCCATCTCACTCACTCCCAAAACTTGAATTATTCCGAGTACTACGACCTTTGTGAACCTTTTCAGTGTGGCAACATAACATTCAACTTCCCCTTCTACTCGTTGGCCACCTTCGGCTCCCGTCCCTACGACTGTGGCCTCCCGGGCTTCCAGATCTCCTGCGACCCCACCTCCTCCCTCGCTGGCCTCGCTCTCCCCGGCCGATCCTACCGTGTCCTCGACATCTACACATCCGAAAACCTCATCACCGTCGTCGATCAGCAGCTCATTGACGACCTTCATTCCGGCTCATGTGGGTCCCTAGGAAACCTCTCCCTTTCCACACCCACTGATTCGCTATCACCTTTGGCACTCCCTACATGGGGTAACAACTTCACCTTCTTCAAGTGCCCAATTGAGGTAGAGACAATCATGCCTCAACAAATTGTGGGGAATTACAGTTGCAGTACTGATGAGGGTGATTATCGGGTTTATCTTTGGGATGCGCGAGTCAACGCCACTCAGTCACCGAGTGGGTGTAAGTCGGTGATGGTGCCGGTGTCGGACGCGAGCTTGTCTAGGTATGGGTTCTTGAATGGGACCAGCCGTAACCGTTCGATGAAGCTAGTGTTGGGTGTTCTGGGTGATGGGTTTGCGTTAAATTGGACAACTCCTAGTGATTGTGAGAGGTGTCAAAAAAATGGAGGTGGACGGTGTGGATATGGCAGCGGCGCCACCGGCATCAACAACATAGTTTGTTTCTGTAAAGCGGGATGCGGCTCAGACCCAGCAACACCACCAGTTAGGTCAGTGTTTCTTAATTATTGTACTACCAATTTTTTAAGAATCCCAAATGTTAAATTACTTTTACTTTCTTTATAACCAATTTTTTATTTGAAATTAATGGAGTAGGAATGTACAGTAATTAAAATAGGATTCTATTTCCAAGTTTGGAATAAATGGATTGTTATAGAAAGGAATTTGAAAAAATAAATAAATTTTCTGCCATTTTAGAATAAGAGAGTTTTAAAATGTTGTAATTGAGATAGGTGGTTTATAAAACAAGAGAAGTTAAAGTAGTTTGTAGAGGAGTAACTTTTGTAGGTTAAGTAGTGAGTTCACTGAGTTACTAAGTAAAAACATTGTAGTCTAATGGTACTTTTTTATTGGGTTGGATGGCAAAATATTTCACTCCATTGGGTACTCATCCAATCTATCCCGATTTAAAACAATTACGAGGGTGGCAATTAAATGGTTTTGGGGCCGGAATGGGGGTCAGGATTAAAAATCCGCATGGTTAAGGTGTGGTGCCACGTTTATAGTGATAAATTACAATTTTTATATTTTGTTTTATATTCAATAATATGATGTATATATTAAACAAATCCTGATTTGTTTTATTTCAATCACTAAATATTATTTTATATTATTCTTATTTGAGAATTTCTATATGTTATTTTGATTTAACTACAATAATATTTAGTCTGAAGCTCCAATTGAGAAGTAAAATTTTATTTTTATACGCATAAGAGAAAAAGAACTATTACTATAGTTAAAAATGTATTTCATTATTTACATTCGTTAGATTTGTAATACAATTATGAAAATGAAACTATTCTACAAAACTCGCCCCTGCCCTGCCTCCGGCCCGCCCTGTTTAATAAATGATTTTGAGACGAGAATGAGGGTAGCTATGCTCAATGGGGATGGAGATGGTATTCCCTGCCATCCCTACTTTCTCACCTTTCAAAATACAAGGTTGAATGTTCAAGTTCTACAAGGGCAAAGGCAAAGTAGAATTTCAGAATTTTGAACATTATAATATTGTTTTTTTAATCTTATTCACTTTTAAAATAAAGTTATTAATTAGGTGATATAGGACCACACAGCCATATCTGCCTACAGTTAGCATTGTTCTCACTTTCTGTCTCCTGTCACTTTTCCTCCCCCAGAAGTAATGATGATTCCATGCCAGTTCCAGCTGATAATACTACTTCTGTGTGTGTGTGCGCGCGCGTGCAAGGACAGCTAGTAGTACTAACTGCATTTAGATAGTAGGAATGTTAGGTATGTTCTGTTTTTTTTTTTTTAATAGAAATTATTTTTTTATTTTTTTAACTAGAATAAAAAGGTTTGTTTAATCCAACCAATTCAAACTTAATCCAAGCTAGATAAAACAAAGGTCGGGCTTGAATTATGATCTTCATTTTATTTCATTTTCTCTGTGAAAATATTTTGCTTGGTAGCCATCATATCACAATTAATAGTTTTGTTTGATAAACTTTCAATCCTCTTTTATTCATAAAATGTTGAATGTTTTCATAATGTCTCATCATATTTGCTTCTCTCAAATTTGCAGACATAAATCAAGTAGATGGAAGCTCATTACAGGTATATCCTTATCATAAATTGAACAAACCTGGAGAAAGTAGAAAATTGTCTCTCATTTTATAGCAACTCATTATGCTTCAAAAAATACTTCTTGTTGAGCAAGCAAAAAGTATTTATTTTTGTCAAAACCAGACTCCCTTTATATTGCATAATCTTGACAGTTGAGTTTCAATTCAGCATTTCGATCAGTACTCCAATTATCATTTGGACTTGATTTACAAGACTTCGATGCCAATCCCACCTCAAGTTCATAGTGAGTTGAGTTTTAGTTTTGTTTCTGTGCATTTAATTCCTCATCGAGCTTTGTCTTGCTTGTAGGTGTTGCATCGGGAAGCTCTTTTGTTCTACTTGTTGTAGTCCCACTGCTCATATTCAAATATAAAAGGGGAAGTTCTGCATTCTTCGAGACAAAGGATCAAATCACAGATGGTGAGAGAAATGCAAGACAGTTCATTAAGAACTATCAATCAACTGTGCTGACCAACTATCCCTACAATGACATTAGAAAAATGACCAATGGCTTCAAAGAAAAATTAGGGGGAGGCGGCTATGGCAACGTCTTCAAGGGAAAATTGTCAGATGGTCGGCTCATTGCTGTCAAAATGCTCGAGAATTGCAGGGACAACAGCCACAATTTCATCAATGAAGTAGCCACCATTGGTAGAATCCACCACGTTAATGTCATACGTTTATTGGGATTTTGTTGGGACGGATCAAAACAAGCTCTTGTTTATGAGTACATGCCCAATGGATCTTTAGGAGACTTAATATCCAAAGAGGAGGTAAGTGTTTCGCTTGGTTTGGCAAGGCTGCTTGAAATTGCCATAGGAGTTGCACATGGAATAGAGTACCTGCATACCGGTTGTGACTCGCGGATTTTGCACCTTGACATAAAGCCTCAAAATGTGTTGCTGGACCAGAATTTCAATCCCAAGATTTCAGATTTCGGGTTGGCAAAAGTATATTCTAGAAATCGAAGTGCAGTCACAATGACAGGTGCAAGAGGAACCATTGGCTTTATTGCTCCCGAGATTTTCATGAGAAATATTGGGAATCCTTCTCATAAATCCGATGTTTATAGCTTCGGAATGCTGCTGTTAGAGATAGTTGGAGGGAGGAAGCATGTAGAACCAGAGACGAGCAATTCAAGTGAAGCATACTTTCCAAGTTGGATTTATGACAAGCTCATTGAAGAAAATGTTGATTCTGTGGTGGAAGAGGAAGTGTTCATTGCGAGGAAGATGGTTATGGTTGGTTTGTGGTGCATTCAGATAAATCCTAGAGATCATCCCTCGATGACCAGAGTGGTTGAAATGTTGTCCGGCAATGTAGAAGCCATTGAAATGCCTCCTAAGCCATTCTTCTTCTCTCCTCCTCGCGTGAAATTTGAGCATGACATGACTTCCATTGAGAGCGATGACAGTGCCTTACCTCTAGCATTTGAAAGTGGTGAAATCACTGAAAATTAAAACCAGAGCAATATTACACTAAACTCATTTCTCTCTCTAAAATTTTCTCTCTCACAATCATATCCCTCTCTAAATTTGTCTCTCATCAAGTCATCAATCACCTCTCTCTAGAAATTTCTTCTAAAAAAAAAATAATAATTTTTAAAATAATTAAAATAATAATTTTAAATAATTAAAAAAATTAAAAATAAAAAATTTTAAAACCTTCCAAAAATAATTAAAAAATAAAAAATAATTTAAATTTTTTTAAACAAATAAAAAAATTTTAAAATAAATAAATAAAATTGAAAAAAATTAAAAATTTTAAATAATAAAAAATAATTTAAAAAATTGGAGTAAAAGAAAATAAAAATAATTAAAAAAATTAAATAATAAAATTTAAAATTTAAAAAAAATTAAAAAAACAGAAATAATAAAAAAAAATAAGGGAAAACTGAAACCATATGGTCTTGAGCTATTGCGATAATTTGTGCCAAGGAGGGTTGGTTGTGGATGTGGTCACATGTGCTCCATTTTGTTTTTCTTTTCTTTTCTTTTTCTAGTAGAATCCAACCTTCAGGATAAGAGAGGATGGAAAAAAAACAATGGCAGACCATTTATCTTTTTCAAAAAAAAAAAAAAAAAAGTAGGTAATCACTGATTCTCTTAATTGTAATTTTTGGAAGGACGTGAGTTTTCAAACCCTTCCTTTGCTCTAATTTTTCTTTTCTTTTCCCTTTTATATATAATCCAGATATAAGAAAAGCTTTCATTCATTTTTCTTTAGTTTCATCCTAACTTTTTAATCCTATTGCCTCTTACAATTTGTTTAGATTGAAAGAGTAAAAAATACGAACGATAGAGAAAAGAGAAGATAGAACTTTTCTTTTTGGGTAGTTGGTAGATTTAAAGAATATATCATGTGAGAGGTTTTATTAAGGGGTAATTTATCACGTGAGGGATCCATCAATGATTTTTAGTTTCATCCTAAATTATTAACCTTTTCTTCTCATTTTCCTTCCATCGGCTTGGTTGGTTCAATAAAATATGTCAATGAGAAATTTTTGAATATCCTCGTAAGGAGGGGAATCTTGTGCCTTGATTTTCAATAGGTTAGAAAAAAAACCTACCTTCCCTTTGGGGAGAGGAAGGGGTGATATCACTGGCCAATTGTTCATTTAATAAAGTGATGTAAAATTGTTACATAAAACAATGTAATGCTATAAGACACATGCTATGAAAATGGAAAAATATTTGAATTCTAATGAGAAAATCAAATTCTAGTTTTAATAAATTTATTTATTTATATTTTTTAAAAGATGAGTAAGTATCACTGCGCTATGCAACCTTTGATAAATAATAAATTTAGCTCCAAAAAGTGCAAGAAAATTATTCAAATGTTTTTTTAAGTAAAAAATAGAATTACTATTTTGAAGACTATATTAATCTTTTTATAACAATAAAATTGACTACGAATAGTAATAATTTGAAAATATATGATTACAATTTACCAAATTTAAAGTTGGATGTTTGAGAGAAGGAGATAATATATATATATATACACTATCTCCTTCTCTCAAACATCCAACTTTAAATGTGTTTCAGTATTTCAGTATTTATTTATTTATATAAAAAAAATATTTATTAATTGATATAAAAATAGTTTTTGGAAAAATAGTTTCTATAAAACATTAAAAATTACCTAATAAAACCAATCACATTCTTTATAAAACTTATTTTTAGTTATATTTTATGGATAATTATAGTTTCTATAAAACTCTAAAAATTACCTAATAAAATCAATCACATTCTATATAAAACTCTTATTTTTAGTTATTTTTTATATATAATTATCACAATATAACCTGCTCGGCCCAATTATGATTATGTCATTATCAGAAAAGGACACATGTCATCATCCTATTCATTCAAGAAGCCTATAAATAGAGGCATGGAGGAAGGGGTACAGAAATTGAGAATTCTAGAAATCCAGAATTCCAAAGTAAAATATAGAAGTTCTGCCAAAAAGTTTCAGTATTTCAGTATTTATTTATTTATATAAAAAATATTTATTAATTGAGTTGAATTTCAGAGAGTTTTTATCTATATTATTATTAGATGTGTTTAAAGAGTTTGTATAAAATTTTAACACAAATTACCAATTTATCAATTTATCATGAATTTTTTAATAAAAGGAAACCTAATTAGACAAGTATTATTAATATAAAAAATTATTTATTAACTGATACAAAAGGAGGTTTTTAAATTGTTTTTAAAACACAAATTACCTATTTATTTATTTATTTTGAGTTTTTTAACTAAAAGTAAATCTAATTAGACAAGAATTATTAAAATAAAAAATATTTATTAATTGATATAAAAAGAGTTTTTAAAATAGTTTATATTAAACTCTAACACAAATTACCTATTTATTTATTTATTACAAGTTTTTTAATAAAAGAAAATCTAATTTACCTAATAAAACCAATCACATTTTATATAAAACTCTTATTTTTAGTTTTTTTTTTTATGGATAATTATAATTTTTATAAAAATCTAAAAATTACCTAATAAAATTAATCATATTCTATAGAAAACTCTTATTTTTAGTTATTTTTTATGGATAATTGTCGCAATATAACCGGCCCGGCCTAATTATGATTATGTCATTATTAGAAAAGGACACATGTCATTATCATATTCATCCAAGAAACTTATAAATAGAGGCATGAAGGAAGGAGGAAGGGGTACAAAAATTGACAATTCTAGAAATCTAGAATTTTGGAGTAAAATACAGAAGAAGAGTTTCAGTATTTATTTATTTATATAAAAAAAACATTTATTAATTGATATAAAAATAGTTGAATTCCAGAGTAAAATACAGAAACTCTGTCAAAGAGTTTGAGTATTTCAAGAAGAGTTTCAGTATTTATTTATTTATATAAAAAAAATATTTATTAATTGATATAAAAAGAGTTGAATTCCAGAGTAAAATACAGAAACTCTGTCAAAGAGTTTGAGTATTTCAAGATTTATTTATTGATATAAAAAAATATTTATTAATTGATATAAAAAGAGTTTTCATCTATACTATTATTAGATGTGTAAAGAGTTTCAGTATTTATTTATTTATGTAAAAAAATATTTATTAAATAATATGATAAAACACTAAAATCTACATAATAAAATTTAAATTAACTTATTTATCTATTTATTATTATCAATTTTTTAATAAAATAAATCTAATTAGACAAGAATTATTAATATAAAAAATATTTATTAATTGATATATAAAAGAAAATAATTTTTATATAACTCTACTATGAGTTTCTTAATAAAATTAAATCTAATTAGATAAGTATATATTTAAAGAAAATAAAATAATTTCTATAAAACTCTATTACAAATTACCTATTTTATTTTTCATAAAACTATATCAACAGAGTTTTTATAAAACTCTAATACAAATTACCTATTTATCTATTTATTATGAGTTTTTTAATAAAAAGAAACCTAATTAAACAAGTATTATTAATATAAAAAATTATTTATTAACTGATACAGTACGAGGTTTTAAAAGAGTTTTTAAAAAACTCTAACACAAATTACCTATTTATCTATTTATTATTAGTTTTTTAATGAAACTAAATGTAATTAGACAATAATTATTAAAATAAAAAATATTTATTAATTGATATAAAAAGAGTTTTTAAAAGAGTTTATATTAAACTTTAACACAAATTACCTATTTATTTATTATAAATTTTTTAATAAAAGAAAATCTAAGTAGACAAGAATTATTAATATAAAAATTATTTTTAATTGATATAAAAAATAAAATAATTTTTCTAAAATTCTTCCACAAATTACCTTTTATTATGAAGTTTTTTTAATAAAAGCTAATCTAATTAGATAGGAATTATTAAAATATAAAAATATTTATTAATTCATGTAAAAAGAGTTTTAAAATATTTTCTATAATACTCTAACACGTATTACAAATTACAATTTTTTAATAAAAGAAAATCTAATTTTCAAATTAAAATACAGAAGTTCTACCAAAGTGTTTCAGTATTTATTTAATTATATAAAAATATATTTATTAATCAATATAAAAAAAGATTTTATTTATATTACTATTAAATGTGTAAAGAGTTTCAGTATTTAAGTATCTATTTATAAAAAAATATATTTATTAATTGATATGAAAAGTTTTTTTTGAAAAAAAAAAAAAAAAAAACTCTATTAAACTCCAAAATCTATCTAATAAAATTTAAATTAACATATTTATCTATTTATTATTATGAATTTCTTAATAAAAGAAAATTGAATTAGACAAGAATTATTAATATAAAAAATACTTATTAATTGATATATAAAATAAAATAATTTTTCTAAAACTCTACCACAAATTAACTTTTATTATGAGTTTCCTAATAAAATTAAATTTAATTAGATAAGGATATATTTAAAGGAAAAAAAAATATTAAATGTGCAAAGAGTTTCAGTATTTCTGTATTTATTTATTTTATTAAAAAATATTTATTAATTGATATGAAAAGAGTTTTTATAAAAATAAATAAATAAAAGAAAAAAAAAACTCTATAAAACTGTAAAATCTACCTAATAAAATTCAAATTAACCTATTTATCTATTTATTTATTTAAAAAATATTTATTAAATGTGGAAAGAGATTCAGTATTTCAATAATTATTTAATTATATAAAAAATATATTTATTAATTGATATGAAAAGAGTTTTTATAGAAAAAAAAACTTTTATAAAACTCTAAAATTTACCTAATAAAATTCAAATTAATCTATTTATCATTATGAATTTTTTTAATAAAAGAAAACCTAATTTTCTGAGTAAAATACCGAAGTTGTGCCAAGGTATTTAAGTATTTATTTATTTGTATATAAAAAAATATTTTTTAATTGATATAAAAAAGTTTTTATCTATAGTATTACTACATGTGCAAAGAGTTTCAGTATTTAACTATCTATTTTGATAAATAAAAATAATTATATTTATTAATTGATATGCAAAGACTTTTCACATTAAAAAAAAAAAAAAAAAATGTCA